GTGGGAAGAAAATACTATGGAGGTAATTGGTTGCAATTTCCAAAATTATTTAAAACATATTTTGTGTTCAACAGAAGAAATAAACTTGAAATATTTGGAATAAACGGGGTGAGAGTAAATGATAGCCTAACAATTTTTTTTTTTTCATTTTTGGGTGAACCATCCCTTTAAATAAACTGCACTATTTAATTACATATGACATAACGTGTCAGGGCGATGCAGTGGCGCAGTAGGCAGTGCTGTTGCCTCACAGCAAAAAAGATGCTGGTTCGAGCCTCGGCTGGGTCAGTTGGTGTTTCTGGAGTTTGCATGTTCTCCCTGGGTTCGCGTGGGTTTCTTCCAGGTGCTCCGGATTCCCCACAGTCCAAAGACGTTGTAAAGGTAAATTGGGTAGGCTAAATTGTCCGTAGTGTATATGAGTGTGTAGCATGAAATTAGCTCATTTTATGAATATTAATAATCAACAACAACGGTTTATTCTTAATTATTAATATTCCGGCTTAAGCTTCGGTCAGTTTGGTCAAACAAACATATGATTGTAAATGATCATGCTCGCGCGACCGAGCGGATTCCCAGATTATGAATATTAATTATCAACAATAACGAATTATTATTAATCATTAATATTCCGGATCAATTTATTGTTAACTTGACCAAACGAACACAAGCAGAGCCGCCGCTCTTCCGAGCGGACACTGTAATTTATTCATTTAGAAAAAGGGAATTTAATTGCTACTTCTTGTGAAGTAGATTAATCATTCAAAAGTTTTAAACAACTTATAATAGCAAGGCAGGGAAATCTGTATTTCAGTGACATTTTCTCGTGAGGCAAACAATACAATTCATTTGATTATAAATGGAATTTATTGACTAGTCAGACGTAACGAACAAACAAACGCACAAACATACATTAAACACAAAACAAAGGTAAACCACGTGGAGATATCGGGTCTATAGAACGTGTAACAGCAAAGAGACATAGTAAAGCTAGAAAATATAGATTTCAGGTAACAGAGTGGCAAAACTTTCAGTTCCACACGCACCATTACGGACCACCAAGGTTATAAAAAACACCTATTTGATAAAAGGGGCACAGCTTAATCGCATAACTAAAATCACCTGGTTTTTCATGTCTGGAGGTCTCTTTATGCGTCTCTCTTCCGTCGTGATGAAAACTACTCTTGATGTCCTTTGATGCGTGGAGTTTGTAATGCAGTTCGGACGAACACGATCGCAAACTTTAAACTGAATTTACTTTGCCGGAAAATAAAGAAAACGTGGCGGGAAAGTCCATGCGGCTGTGAAGAGCCGTGTGGCCCTTAAAGGGACCACCGTCAATGATGTTCCTTTTTGGGACGTTCTCTTTCCTGCCCAGATGTTTGGGGGAAAGTGTGCTTATACCTGCGGGTCACGTGACAACCCGTACAGCATTCTGACCAATGATTTCAGGGGAAAGTTTGCGCGCGAACCTTCCTTTGTCTCTGGGCTGCGCGTATGCAAATTTGAGCGCTCGCCTAAAGCATGCGGACAGGCATTTAATACAGGGCTTTAAAGAATAAAACAATGCGAGTTATGGTCTCAATCTATGCATCATGTGTTATAAAATGTCGAGGGCATTCTATTGACACCAAACACTCTACAAGTACATCACATTAAAGGTACATTAACATAGTTCCCATATCCTTACATCATTGATGCTTTTAAAAAGGCCTGAAAGTACGAATGTGTATAGTCTATATCAGGGATTGTACACATTACAAAAGTTAAATGAAATTAAACAAGAGATTTGGGTTCTAAATGTCTTTGTTTAATTTTGAGGAATGTCTTGTCTGTGAGCAGAACGTTGGCTAAAGAGGGTTTCTTTTCTTTCTTATCTTATCTGTCATGTTCTTTTGAAGTAGGCAGAGAGTGGTTCTGTAAAGTCTCCCAGACTTGTTAACATGTCACCACGGATTACTAAGTCAGACTTTTCGTCGCCAAGTGATTTTATTGTCCTGGCGATTCACCCAGATTGTTTTCTGGAATGTTAAATGGAATGTTTATTTCCAGAATGCAGGTTACAATATGTTACAAGTGAATGAGTGTGTGTGTGTGTGTGTGTGTGTGTGTGTGTGTGTGTGTGTGTGTGTGTGTGTGTGTGTGTGTGTGTGTGTGTGTGTGTGTGTGTGTGTGTGTGTTACCCAGAGATGGGTTGTGGCTGGAAGGGCTTCTGCTGCATAAAAACGTGCTATATAAGTTGACGCTTCATTCCACTGTGGCGACCCCGTGTTAAAAAAAAAGGACTAAGCCGAAAAGAAAATGAATGAATGAATGAATAACTTGTCACTAATGACAAATCATTGTGAATTCTACACACAGCCAATATAATTAACTTCACAAAAGCTTCCATGCACTGACCTGTAAAAGTGCAAGCATTTTTCATGACAAAATGCACTAAAAAGCTGGCTTTCACTGTGTAAGATGCGACAGAACAGAACAAAATGTCTGACTAATGAACAACACAGACTTAAAATTAAACAATATTGTAGATTGAACATGGGATAATTTCCCAGGTGAAAGTCTTCCATGCATAATTTCAGATAGACAGAATCATTTGCAACTTGACTTGACTTATCTTTTTATTATAATTATGAACATCATTTATGGTGACACAGTAGCTAAGTGGTTAGCACTTTCACCTCACAGCAAGAAGGTCGCCGGTTTGAGGTGCCAACTGGTTCAGTTAACATTTCTGTGTGGAGTTTGCATGTTCTCCCCGTGTTCGCATGGGTTGCCTCCTATACTCCGGTTCCCCCACAGTCCAAGGACATGCAGTACAGTTGAATTGAATAAACTAAATTGGTTGTAGTGTATGTGTTTGAGTGTGGGAGGGTATGGGTGTTTCCCAGTACTGGATTGCAGCTGGAAAGGCATCCGCTGTGTAAAACATATAAGTTGGCGGTACATTGCACTGTGGCAACCCCTGATTAAAAAAGGGACTAAGCTGAAGGAATATGAATGAATGAACATCATTTACTTGTTTGCAAAGATACAATCTAAGCTATACAAGGCCTGGGTAATCATCAACAAGCAGAACAACTGTATTTTGACAGCGAGCTGCACATGCATCTGTTCAGCAGGGTATGTGAATGTACATTTTTACATTTCATTCTAAGCGTTCATTCAGTGTCCACAGTTTAATTAACCATATTTAACCATTTTTGCTGAAATCATTCCTGTAATGAAAAACAAGTAATGTGTATGATTCAGCGTAGCTTGAACTTACCTGATATGAAATGAGAACAACAGAGTCGAACATTTTTAATTAGGTCCTCACTCCACTCAGCTTCCTTTTAGCCAAAGACGTCTGCGGTTGGCATTAAAAGCAGTGTGGTGTACAGTAAAAGTTAAGTTTTCTAAGTTTTCTATCGAATTTGCCATCCTACCGCACAACATGACATCTAATCGGTCTCTTTTTGCTACCGGGAACCCGTGTGACGTCATGAGTGACGTAGGTTGGTAATTCGTCTAAAGCTTCCTATTAAAAATATGAATTTAAAAGATATATTTGTGAGGGGTGTAATTATATATGCTGAGCACCGTATATAGTTCCTTTCAAGATAAAATCATAAACTGTTCAGAGAACCGAATGGCTAGAATAGTTTAGCAAAAATAAAGCATAAAAAGCAGCCGATTCATCCTAACAATAAAACAAATTAGATGAACATGTAAAGTCTCTCAAGAGAATCAATTCCTGTACCGTTTTCACTCTCATTACCCAAATGCGATTTCATACATTTTTATGCTCTTTAAATTTAATCCTCTCCCAGAGATTCATCATTAGTGGTGAGCCTCATGTTTTAATTATGCCATATGCCCTCTGAGTACACTGACCTTTCCCTGGGTCAGGAAAAAAAATTGCTTCATGGTTTATTTTAATCCATGTGAAGCTTCCTATCACATAAGTGTTGTCATCATCAGACAGAATGCTTCGTTATTGTGTATGAAGGCAAATGTGTAGGAGGAGTACCCATCTAAAGTTATGTTAAGTCAATGTTAATTTAATGGTAATGCATGGAGATTCAGAAGTTCTAACGATAATCACACTGCCATTCTGAAATGGCCTGATTTTTTTAGGCCTAATCAGAAATCCCATACTCGATGTATATCAGCTAAATTCAATTGTCCATTGATGGCGTAATGCTCACTCATGTCCAAAAATCAAAAAAAAAAAAAAAAAAAAAAAAGAACAGCTAAAAAGAAACATGGAAGTATGAATGAGAAGAATTGAGACATGACCCTCCCAGCAAACAATTTTGTGTTTAATTTACGTCCAATAGACATCTAAATGTAGACAGCTTGGCTAAACTTGGGCTGTCAGTGAAAATCTAATAGACATCTAAGAATAGCCCGAAACTGTGTAGTCATTCACTTCTGTTTATTTGATGATTAGTCTAGTTTTGGCCTATTCTTAGATGTCTATTAGATTTTTACTGACAGCCCAAATTTAGCCTTGTTTTAGACAAGATGGCTATATTTAGATGTCTATTAGACGTCTTTAAAAACGAAAATGCTTGCTGGGCCTATTATGGACAGGACAGAGACTGAGAATGGTTCATATTACATTTTTTACCCAAACTGTGATTGTTTATTCTCTAAAGCACATCCAATATTTGAGATGAATGGACAGAGAAATCAGTTACACTGAATGGTGAAGCAGGCATGACTGTGAGCTTCTCTGCAGTGCAGGTTCAGACTTCATCCATGAACAGAATGTATGAGACAGACTTTTTTCAGCGGACAAGACAAAAATGAACTCAAACAACATAAAGTAAACCTAATAAAACATGAGACAGATGTGTAAAAAAAACCCTAGAGATACAGAAATAAGCTTGCATACACACACATACACATTAAAACCAGCAGGCCCAGACACTGTCATTTAGCCCAACTCAGTACTTGAAGAGCAGCAAATGTTTCAAATAATACTTCAAAAATAAGTATTTTACAGCATTTAAACATTTTTGAATCTTTTTTGTTTGTTTTTTATTTCTTTCAGATTATATTTATTCCGTATGGTGTATATTCTTTGCCAACTACTTTTCACATTCTGACCACAGAGGAACAAGTGCGAGAGATTTGAGACATTGTTTTGAAAGAAGTCATGCACGTATAATATTTTAATCAACTTATAAAGTTAGAAAAGGGGAATGTTCAAGACAAAAAAAGAGAAGGTTTCTTCTGATGCAATCCTTTTAGAGTCGGGTTTCTTCAGCCATCACTTTTAGTCTCACTGTCTGGCAACTTGTCATGCCTAAATTACCTTTACAGATCGGAAACGCAACACAAAATCGTACAAGGCAGGCAAGAGTATGAGCTAAAAGGCATTCTCCAGTAATATTTTTCTTCTTTTAAAATAAAGAACTTGATTTTTTTTACACAACCATTACACAACATAACATTATATGGTCGTGGTCGGTCAAGTTTTAAAATAAAAATAATCAAAAAGAAAAGAAAAATGATTTTTTTTTTTGGTCGAATTGGATCACTGTACTTTATACGCTCCAATTTCTCAAGGGAGAATGAGATTGCTTAAGGGAAGATGAGTCTTGTGTTTGTCAACAAAACATTCTCTGTTTCCTTTGTTTTCCACGTAGTAGTCAAAGAGGCGTTCTGCACCGCTAATGCAGAGGTGAACGAAAAGCAGAAGGTAGCTGAGAGGAGCAGACAGGAACGGGGGAGTGTGCGCCCAACAGAAGAAACTTTTCAAAATGGCAACCGACCCTGAGATTGCAGGAGTCCGATACAAAACACACCACAAAAGGCACTTTATCAACAACAGTGCTTCTGTTCTACTGAAATTCAAGTTGAGAGAAAAAGTGTGTGTGGAGCTCTCATTAGTGATAAAGCGACTGGAAAAAAAACAAGTGTGCGCACTCGTTTTCTTTGATTCCTGCGCGCCGAGAGTTCGCTGTCCCCATCGCAACTCGATTCCATCTTGAGCCTTTAGGCCATCCGAGAGGAATGACAAAACAACACTGAAGAAACCACAACGCGAAATATTGTAAAAAGCCGTAAAATACTTGTGGATTGCAGCAAAGGTCCAGAGCAGGCTGCAGGGCAATATCCTCCCCTCTCCGTGCCTCCGTAGCGTGCAGAGGAACTTTTCTTGAGAGATAATCAGCCCACTTCGGAGGCTTGGCGTACAGCTTCTCGATAAAACATTCGAGATGCCAAAAGTCCCTCCTGGCCCCCTCTGTTCCCCTCCGTCTTCCTCTGGCTCGCACCTTCAGTCCTCCCCCCCTCCTCCGTAGAGGTCTGCCAGCTTTTTGAAGCGAGGACCCCAGTCATTGAGGTAGTCGTAGTCCTGTTCCCCAGAGCTGGAGGAGTCCAGGGAGCTGACAGAGCCCGCTGTGGAGCCGCTGCCCTCGTAGTCGAACACCAGCAGGGAGTCGTAGGGAGGAGCGGTGGGGTCATTATCTGCTGCACGCAAACCCTAATAGAAGACACAGACAACATAAAACACTGCTGTAAGGGGTCACATCAGGACAGGTTTCCTTGATCGTTTCAGATTAAAGATCTTGATGCACTATGAAACGCTGTGTAACTTCCTCCTTATTGGAAAGAAAAAGGTATTTTTTGTTACTGCCGTTTTTTTCTGCGTCGGATGAATCACATCATGTCTGTGTTTACTTGTCAGTGACTTTGTTTGACCAGTTCAGTGTTGTTCTTGTAGCTTTATAATTGTTAGATTCATTTTATTTCAGGTAGTCGCCAAGGCAACAGGTCAAATTTGAAGTACTTCAAGTACTAACATTGCTAAAGCTACATGTAAAGCCAATTCAATTGCACACACACATTCTATATGCTCTAGTTCAGAGATGCCCAAGTAGGGCCTGCGGGCCAAAGCTGGCCCATTATAACCTTTGATTTGGCCCACCTTACTATCTGAGAGAAGAGTGAGAATGATAGAGAGGGTTGGTGCAAATGCCTTTAACACAAAGTTTGTAATTTTTAATTTGATGTAACCTTTTTGTTTGTCCTATTGCTGAGCTACAAAAAAGCAAACGGAAATTAAATGTTTTAACTAAATGCTGTAAATGAATCAGATTTTTAAAAATGTAAATACTGTCACTTGATTGACTATGTAGAAGACATTGTTGACTAAATCAAGGCAAAAACTAATTCTAACACTAATATACATTAATTCTGTTATAAATTAGATTGTTCTGTTTTTACTGTAATTAGTTCATTATAAATGTAAAACAAATACTGTAATAATGTAAAGCAAAACATGTAAAGCAAAACATTAACATTACATTTTACATTAAATGTTATTAAATAAATTAGGAAATTACCCATGGTAACTATATTTACCTTGGTTTTTGGCCCTTTATAAGGAAAACTTTTGGGCACCCAATTCAATTCCAAATCTCCAAAATGGATGAATGGGGTATGTGCATACAGACTTTTGATTTTTCAGTCAGCCAGCCCAAGCGCTTCCGGTGAACATTCCAATATCGCCACATTTAAGATCTGATGTCTTTAGAAATTTTCAACTTCCTGATAGACATATCAGGCATGTAGCCAGCTTAATGTAAGGGGTGATTCTTTTTTTCTCAAAATGTGGACCTTTTTGCAGTTATTCGCCTCATTTTCTATTTAATTTTTAGATTTAAATTCTACATTTTAAGCACTATTTTTCATCGGATTAGCCTGTGGGATGGTCATCATAATTACACTTTTTATGTACCAAAATATTGCCCTAAAATTTACAATGAAGAAAAATGAATTAATATTTTTTTTTATAAAATTGATTATATCATTAAAAAAAATAGGAATTAATTTTTAAAATTAAAATCTGTAGCCTATTGTCAATAATAAGGCAACATTCCTCATCAGAATTTGGCTATTTGAATAATAAAAAGTTAAAACATAATACTAATAATAATAATAATAATAATAATAAAAGAGCTTCATGATTTGTCTAGCATCTCTTGTAAAAAGTACATTTGATTCAGGGTTAAGAGCAATAGCCAATGTATTCAATATGATTTTAATATGGTCCTCTTTTGGTGCCTCATACTTTTTTACAATTCATTTTTTTTTTAAATAGAATAAAATTTACTTGTCAAATATTTCCTCTATTTAAAAACAATACAGTTTTGAAAGATGACTTCACTTACATCCGAGTGTATGTTTTCTTGCACTAGATGTTGAACTTATGAAAAATAATAGTTTGCATTGGTCAAAACTAATGTGACAGTCAACAGATCATTTATCTTGATCTTAAAGTCTTTCTCAATGGGTTATTTTCACAATTAATGATAGTGTCACAGACAAAATAGGACAAATGAGTTCATGTATGAGACAAATTCTGGACCTTTGTCATTGAGGGGTGGGTCTTTTGAAACACTAGCTGGGCATGTAGCCCATTGATGATTTTATTATTTTTTTTTTTTTTTGTTTTTGTTAATGATAGCTTATTTTTGACTGTTACTCAATTTTGAATGTAAGCAAAATTCTCAGCAGCCATCTTTGAAGCGCCTCTTGGGCATGCAAGTGGAACTTCTGTCTCTTTGAATGCAACTTCAAATGCTCCAAAACTGTTTACCGAGCTTAAAAATAAATTTCATATTTGGAATCACCAATGGAATTTAACAGCAACTGTCTCTTAAAGTTTGTTTTTTAAACTTTCAAAAAAAAAAAAAAACACTTGAAAGGAGCAAAATCAGACATCATCCTGTCAATCAAACTATGTAAATGTAATATGAACTAAAACATGATCACACTAGTACTCTATAGAAAACAATGCTTAGACTTTTAAAGATGTAGTGTGGCGCATCCAGTGTACAACTTCCTTGTGGGTTTCACAGTACAAATCTGCACCATAGATTTTTTGCAAATTTATCAAATCATTATAAATTGTAAAATCCCAAGCTTGATTTTTCAGATGCATGAATTAAACTTAAGCAGACATGTTACAGTGCACCTAGCATTGAATAATTCCAAGAAGCTTATAAGAAACAAAGTCTTTCAAATGTTGTAGCTTTTGTCAGGAAAATAAGACTTGGTGCTGTTTGATGCAGTTGACAGATTACAGTATGGGTGCATAAATTCAAAAAGTAACAGTGTCAAAATAAATGAATGTCTCACATCTCGTGTAATCGTTCAATCAGTGTTTCAACTGCAGAAAAACAGCTTGTAAACAATGTCATGTAGTATTACATTTACCTCAGGCAAGTCATTCACTGTCCACAGCTTGTTAGTTTACTAGCGAAACAAACTGTGGAGAAGAATGTTTCTCTAAATATTTGCACTATATTAGCAGTACATTCATGGAATTTTGCGTAATCTGTACATGTTTAAAAAAAAAAAAAAAAAAAAAGGTACACGGTGTTACAAATAATGTTCCTCAAGGAACAGTTTTGTACCTTTGTAAAGTTGTACCTATTATGGAACAGAAAAGACCTCTTATGATACTGTTCTGTACCTTTTATGGTACAATTAAAATGACGGTAAACAATTATTCTCATGTAAAAGGTACATTAGTTTTGGACAACTCCTTCTTTATTACAAAATCTATGAAAATAAACATGACTTGAAAGGCAAAGTGATTTTATAAATAATTTTCATATAAAACATGAATCATTTAAAATTTAAAGAAACCCATAAACATTAATTAGGTTCTATAATACAAAACAACTGGTACAACAAAACTTTAGATATGTAATATAGATATGTAAAATAGAGATGTAAAACTAATCAAACATTGTGCATATCTCATTATAATACTTTCGCATAATTTTATTTCTATTTTAAAATTAGGTAAATTAAATGAACTTTTAAGTGATTACAAATGTATTGTGTGAAAGTTGAAGAAAAAAAAGGTGTCATATTGTACATGAGAGCATGTGTTTCTATAATTCTTGTGAAAAGAGTTGAGAAATCTTTTAGCAAAAATAGTTCTTTTGATTTATTTTCAAGTATTTTTTATTCTTTATAGTAAATTGAAAAGATGCAATTACTCAAAAGAAACTTAAAAAAAATATTGTTTAAAAATAGATTTGATGTGTTCTTTATTGGTAAAACATTGTACCATTTTTTTCTGAGAGTGTACAGTAAGTGATATTTGAACTATTTATTGCATATGTTTAATTAAATCTCAATGGAAATCCAGAGTGTAAATGATGTGATAACGTGTGAAATTGTTAATGTAATGAGTTTATCTACTCACATCTTGAAATTCATGTAAAACGTATTGATTCTATAACAAATAATACAAAAATAGCACAATCCCAGTTTGTGTGTGAAACATGTTGTATATTCTAGTGTGTAGCTCCAGCTACTCTGCATATCTTAAGGCTGCCTAAGGTTGGGAAAGAGTTGCTTAGGTATATTTTAACAAGATTAAGTTTTAATACATCACACTTTGTTTTACACTGAATTTAATATATATTCTTATGTGAAGTCTACTTACAATTATTATTTTTTCTTTGTCCCAGAAGGCTCAAAAGTAGAATAATAATAATAAAAATGGTTTAATTCTAAAGGTTCAAGTTGGTGTTAAATCACAAATTCTGAATTATTTCCACCAAAATAAACAGATTATATTGTAAGTTGACTCCAGGGAAGGAAATGATGACCTCTTTAAGAACGGCTTTGCAAATAAACACTGTTTTTTCCTCTACCGCTCTGCAGGCATTAGTCAGAATTAAGGCCTAACTAGATTATGTTCTAAGACAAGAAACAGAGGGCACATACGTCAGTGATGAACTCCCCGATGTCTCCTGGGTGTGGTACCGTTGGCCGGACAGGATACTGAGATTCTAGGATAACGGGTCTCTCGTCCACTCTCCGCACACCTGCAGGCTTGCTCATTATGTGATCTAGAGACTCGGGCTGCTGCAGCTGACTGAGGTCATAGTCCTGCAGCAGAAATAAAAATATAGCAGCGCGGGTCTGAAACAAGGTCAGAAACGCTCTTGAAACAGAAAAGAAGCGGCAGCAAACTATTGAAAATTTAAAAACAGCCTTGACTTGTCAATCGATAAAAACACATACTGTACTGCGGTGTGTGACACTGACCTGATCTTCCTCTCCTCCTCCCTCTTCATCATACTTCAGAATGTTATCTCTGACGTCATCCTCAGGGTCGATCAATAAGGGTTTTGTCTGACGCTCTTTCTCCCTTCGCTTCACCCACACCACGAAGAACAGAACCATACCTTTCAAAACAAACAGAGGTGTCAGTCACCTGTTTTCTGACTTTGACAAAGCATCAGATGCACATGACTTATTTAGTGCCCAAGGCAAAATAAGACATGACTAAAGAATACAATACAAACACATTCTGACATTCAAATATAACAACTACTAAGTTAAAATGTGTCAAGTCTAAGCTAGGTTCGTCTACATTAAAGATTTGGGGTCTATAGGCTCCGATATACTTCAAATTAGGTTCCATTTCATTCTTCGTTTGAGGGCAAAAAGAAGTTTGAAAAGGCTGAGTGACAGTATGCTGTTTTTGAACGCCCCCATGCTGCAGTAGGTGGTGTTGTAAATGTGTCATGCTGCTCGCGTGTACTCCACTGGAACATGAGAGCACCAAATCTTTATATTGTTTTCTATTTGCTGCGTACAGACACAGAGGAGCATCGCCAGTGTGCAGACACTCATAGAAAACAGTGTTTAGACCTTAAAATAAAAGTACTCCACTTCGGTATCCTTAATATCTCAAGTTATTGTACAGCTGCAGTTACATCTCAGCAGGCACAGGATTTCAGCATGTGTGGAAATGAAAATTGGGTTGACGTCAGAACGCAATATCAGACTGACACCAGTGTCCAATCTTTAATGGTTGATCTTCAAAATCAACCAAATATCAAGGTCTAATGATGTTAAAGCTTGACTTTGTGTGGACATTACTACTATCAGACATTGGATTTTGGCTGCCATACCTGATGAATAAATCAGTATTTGTTGTCAATATGACATTGGTTTAAGATGTTGGCTTTCCAACACAACCTAAAATCAACCAAATATCAACATCATTTGATGTTGTTATACTGGACATAAAATACCATTGTACTTTGATGCTGGCTAGACACTGAATTGTGGTCATCTGACATCACAAGCTAAATCAAACCTAATATTAACGTCTCATGACGTGTGCCTGCTGGGATCTGCTTTGTAATTTGATGGTTGCTCAAAAGAAAAAGAAAAAAAAAACACCCCCCAAAAGTTTGTTTTGGTGAGCTGTTTCGAAATGCTGAAATGAACACAAAATAAACTTTGTTATGGCCAGATTTTGTAAAAAAAATTAAAATTCTTTCATTATTTACTCACCCTTTACATGTTTCAAACCCGTTTGAAACAGGTTAAAAACAAAAGAAGATGTTTTGAAAAAAGTTACAAACCTGTAATTATTAAATTCCATATAATTCGTTTTTCTTACTATGGAAGTCGATGGTTTACAGGTTTTCAGCTTTCTTTAAAATATCTTCATTTAGTGTTCAACAGAAGAAAGAAACTCATAAAGGTTTAGAAACACTTAAATAGTGAGTACATTTTAATCTTTGGATGAACCATCTATTTAATGATTTTGGCCCGTTGGCATTTCTGTGTGATTTCTCCCTGTGTTTGCGTGGGTTTCCTCCGGGTGCTCCTAATTCCCCCAGTCTAAAGACATGTGGTATAGGTGAAATTAATAAGCTAAATTGGCTATAGTGTATGTGTGTGAATTCAAGAGTGTGTGGGTGTTTCCTAGTGTTGGGTTGTGGCTAGAAGTAGATCAGCTGAATAAAAACATATGCTACATAGGTAAGTTGGCAGTTCATTCCACTGTGGCAACCCCTAATTAATGAAGGGACTAAGGCAAAAAGAAAATGATTTTGGTCTGATTCAAGGCTTGTCAACTTTTTGTATAAAAAGCACAGCACTTGTACTCAATTGTGATGTCGAACAAGACTATTTATAAGTCTTGTTTTGTCCCCTGATACCCACAATAGCCAATTGATTTTTTTCAGCCACGTGACCTGGCAAGCAAAACAATGGGCTGTAATGGCAGCTTACACTGAAATCTCCATAGGAACACAGCACAAGCTGATGAGATTTTCTTTTGTTTCAAGCTATGGAAAAGTGGATCATGTCAACAGAACAAAAAAGAGATCTGAATGCAAAAATAAATTTTGGGTCCTTGCAATCCATATACCACATCAGCCCTTAAAAACCATCAGATCTCCAATTCTGAAATGTTTACATTCATCTTGTAAAATAAGCTGAAACAACACAGTTTCAGAGTTTTTTGGGACTACTTAATTGTTTTATGTTCAATCCAGATAAAGTTATCTTAATTGTTGGAAGAACTTTATTTCATAGTGTATAGTGTGTAAATGTCTGCTTTTACAGTATATTTGCTGTCTTCTTTTTTTGCTTAGAATAGTATTTGCTGTTAGGGATCATTTTCTGTTCAATTCTGCTATTCACACTTTGACTTCACATTTATTTAATCTTTAAGTGAACCACCTAAAGCTTCACAAATGGATATCACATGTTTTATTTTATAACGAAACATGTTATTAAACAGTGAAGTGCTGTTTAATAATAATAATGAAGTCCAATTCAACAAAACCAAATATATTGACAGTTTTGTTTTACCATGCGAGATGCTGTGGGTCTCCCACAAATCACCAAAGTAAAAAAAGATAAAGTTTAGGATCTTGATAATGCTGAGAAAATCTTGACTGAAAGTTAAATGAAAATTTATAATCAACAATTAAATGACAAGTTGAAAGGTTATTAATCTCCATTTACTAATGTTGTTGAGATTTGGTTTTGTTGCAGTCTCTGGATGAACCATCCATCCATTAATAAATCAAACCATCCATCACTTACTGAGCAGTATAATGATACAGATGAGGATGGTGATGATGGCTCCAGTTCCCAGCCCAGCCACAGTCACTGCACCGATCACAGTGCAATCTCCGTTTTCATCACAGGGACACACTTTGACCTTCAGGACGGAGGTGTTGGACAGGGGAGGGTTTCCAGAGTCAGAAACTAAAATGGGGACTCTGTACATGCCTGCCTCTAGGTAGGGGATCCGCAGTTTCAACTGGGCATAATTACCTAAACAGATGTAATAAATTAAAATCAAAATTCAACATTTGAAGACATGAACACGCATTATTTCCAGAACTGCCCTACAGCACTAATATTGAAACAATAATGTACAGCAGAATTATTAATAATTAAAACTTCATTTTAAAGAAATAATCCCATAATTCTTTAGTTTAAAAAAAACTTAACAAAAATAACAGCATCTGAGAAAAATGTAACTTTCGAAATGCCATTTTTGGTACAAACTTAATATGTTTTGGTTTCATGTTTTTAATTAATATGATATGTCTTAAAAAAAAACATGCTAGATATCTAAAGCAGATAACAATGACTACAAAATTAGAAAATTAAAACACTTCTACTAGTCCAAAGTTATTTTATGTTCCCTCAGTTTCTCTTTTCAATATGATCTTTATTATTAATTCCTTAGTGTATTGGTCCAATTAAAACAAGTCAATCTGAATGGTAACTGGGTTTAAAAAAAATAACCCTCAGGTTAATCATTTTTAATATATTATAACAACTGCTTTACTTAAAGAGAAACATATCAATTAAAATGGAATGTATTTTGTATACTTTTTGTCCTAATCATAACACTTATTTTAATCTTTATATCCTTCCTGTCATGTTCAGGTCAATTTTGACCAATTTACAACTTAAAACACTCATAAATATTGTGTTTTAAATCTGATTGCCTCAAGGCCTCATGATATCCCCCACACTATAGGGACTTGAACATATAAAAGTGATGATCCACTCTTTCATTAAATGTTGAGTGGTTCAATCAACCTTGTTACACCTGTGTAAGTGACGGCCATTGGAAATGAATGGGTCACCAGACTACATGCATCCATCAGACAGAAATCATCCCCATACACACCACCCCAACTCACTCACTCGCTTGCTCGCTCGCTCGCTCACTCACTCACTCACTCACTCACTCACTCACTCACTCACTCACTCACTCTTCAGAGTGGACAATGTCTTTAGCAGGTAAACATCTCTTTTACATTCTTGTGCAGATCCTCTAGCCAGTCTTACAGGGAAGCATAACTATTTTACGTTTTGTCAGTTTAGTGGTTAATTCGTTTAGTTTAATTTTAAAGTTCAATTCATACTAATTTATTTCTTTCACAGAGTCTAGCAGGAGCACTTTTAGCTTAGCTTAGCATCAATTACTTTATTGGACTGGATAAAATATAACTAGTGCTTGATTTTTGTCCATACGCACTATCAATATTCTCAGTCACTATCCCCTACATTAGTACACTAATAAATAGTCCGATTGAAGGTCTTAATGAAAATTCAAGCACCCGGTAGACAGGAAAGGATGCAGTTTTGTTTGTGCTTTGCTGACTGATAAATCATTCAAATGGATTAAAATTTCAATTTCTTTGGTCAGACTCTAAGATTATTATTTTAGCGAGCTGTCTGTTGGTAATGAAACAAAGTATTTCAATTTATTTATGTCATCTATTGTTCATTTTGTAATAATTTTCAGTGCCTATTTGTATTTTCACTGCAGTTAATTTATGTCTAATTCTATGAATTTATATTAAACACTACTTTAAGACATTGTCCACAGCTAAAGAATGTTAAATAAAAATTTGGTAGTGAATTTTTTTTTTTGTGCTAACTTAGGAGCAGTTAACACAGACCGGTCAATTTTGACCAAGAACACTAAATTAAGGGACAGGATGTGAACACGACAGGAGGGATATTGTTGAATTGTAAAACATGTTGAAAACTTGGACCTGTTAAGAACAGTCAATTTGTAATACGTAAAATCCAAATCTAACCATTCAGGCGTGAAATGGTCCAATTTCGACGGGCAGAAGAGGGGTAAGAGGGCAGCTCAAAGACATAAGGGCCAGCATTGGGTTCTGAATCTAAATCTGAGGCTGTGATGTTGACTGGATATCCATGTCGTGACCTCTCGCAAACCAGAGCCTCTTGAGGAACCAAGACGGGCACATTGTCATTCACATCTATCAAATAAATCTGGAGTGTACCAGTTCCTGTGGCAGGAGGGGAACCTATGAAAGAGGAAAGAGGATAGCGATAGTCAGAGATTAGGCTCGTAAAGTTTATATATTTGTCCTGAATACTCTCAGTTGTGTCAGGTATAAGAAATGATAACTGCACATAAATATTTCACATAGCTGTTTTCTCTTTAATAGAGCTGGGCTCGTTCTCAGAGGACAGATATGTGTAATAACTTTGCCTGAAGAAACAGACGCATCTGCACCCTACAGCTGAGTGTGAATCAAAGAAAAACCACACCGTGCAGAGGCCAGATATACACCTGCTCACTCTCACAACACAATCCGCCATCACAGACGAGGGAAGCATTTGTGGAAAACATGGCTGTTTTATTCCCAAAGCTCTGACTGAGTAACAGGCTACATATTATAAAGATTGATTCTGTCAAATTGTGTTACTAGAAGGTCCGATATCAGTCTAAAATACAAGCCGTCAACCCCGGACGTCTGTATCAACTGCTAGACAAAATGCTAGTCCCTAAAGACATATTGATTCAGGCCAACATGCCTTTGTTCAGGGAGGACGCCTGACAAGGCCTGCCACTACACACACATTTGAAAACTTCAGGGAAAAACACACCAAGACAAGCAGATGGCCTGGTCGATTTGCTAATCATACCAATCTCCCCTGAAGTTTTCTGAGCTTGTGAAGTGATACCCCACGTTAAGCCATTTGAGTATCTTCATTACATAGAGACTAGCTAAAAAGTAAACATGCAAATAAGGCAAGTTTATTTATATAGCACATTTCACACACAATAATTTAAAGTGCTGAGGAATCTGTTTTTTGTTCAGTGAACATCTGTAGTGAATTGAGGTCCTTTTAGTGATTTACAGACAAGTAATAATACTTTAAAATCTATTCTGAATGTAACTGGTAGTCAGAGTAAAGACCTGAGGGCTGGTGTGATATGCTCTGACTTTCTGGTTCTGGGCTGCGTTTCCCAAAAGCATCGTAAGCCTAAGAAGTTCGTAGAAATGATCGTACGACTGATCTTAATATTACGGTCTGTTTCCCAAAAGCATCGTAACTTAAGTAGCACTTGAAAATCTTAGTGGATCTACGAGTGCTCTGGAGTAATCGTAAAGCCTTAAGTGCATCGTAAGGAGACAGAGTTATGAGGGCACCTGCTGGACAACCGGCAAATTGCACCTACAATTTACTTCTCTTCAAAGTCATTATTCATTTTATTTGTACGTATATCTCTATTCATTTATATTTTCTACACATTACACAATTCAATATACAAATAATAATGAATAAAGAAAAAAATAAAAATTACATAATAAATGTTAGAATGAAAAAAAAAATTACACTGTTGTATATGGACATTTCGAAGGTAGTAGGCTACATATGTTGTATTTAACAGAAAATATTTAATGTGATTTAAAGATGACACAAATAAAGGAGGAACTCAAAAAAATGTGTCAATGACTTGCTTGCGTGCCCCAAACCCAGCCATGTATTGAACATGTCTTGGCTGATCATCATGAATTCTCATCTCAACTTCATTCTCTTCCTCCACCTCTTCATCTTCCTCCCTGATGTCCAAGGGCACTCTTGCCCTCACTGCAATGTTGTGCAACATAGCTGTTACTGTTATTACAGCACAGCACTTTTGTGGCACAAAGAGAAGACCACCACTGGACTTGTGAATAGCCCGAAAGCGTAGCTTCCACCTTCCTAAAGTGCGCTCCACAGTACTTCGGGCAACACGGTGAGCCTCGTTGAAATGTGCCTCACTGTTACTGACAGGATTAGCAACAGGGGTGAACAGATATGGCCTCAATGGATATCCGCTGTCACCAAGCAGCCTCCAATGTCCGTTTGAGTTTTGGGCCTCTTGACCCACAGATGAGTTGGTAAAGATATAGGAGTCATGTGTGCTCCCAGGCCACCTTGCAACAATGTCTGTGATTAAACAGTTATGGTCACAGATCACTTGGCAGTTGATTGCTGGATAACCTTTGCGGCATATATATGTATGGCCATCCACAGAAGGCGTACTGATGGGAATTAAAGTACCATCAATGACTCCAATGACTTGTGGTATATGGTAATGTGTTAGAAAATACTCCTGAATGTCTGACATGGCCTGTCTTGATGCTGGAAATTTGATGTGTTCAGCTGCAAGTGGAAGCAGTGCATAGGTGACTGCTTGTACAGCTCTGGACACAGATGGTTTACTTAGTCCAAGTCCATCTCCAAGTACCTGAAGAAAACTGCCTGTTGCATAATATCTCACAGCAGCTAAGAGTTGCACATCAGGGGACAAGGCAAAATTCCTTCTTGTAGCACGCATCAGCTGAGGCCCAATGACATTGAGCAGCTGGACTATTTCTCCTCGTGGCAGACGGTACCTGTGAATGACAGCCATATCATCAAGCATATCCAGAGGATTTTGATGCTGCCTGATGAAGGCATTTATAGTACATAGTGTACTCCGTGGTCGTCTCTGTCTTTGTCTTTGCCTTTCTCTTTGCCTCACTCTCAGCTGGAAAACTCGCTGTAGTGCAGCCATGATTTACTCTGCAAGACTACTGAAGTGTGAACTTTATATACTATCCTAAAATTGCTCACAGGAACCATATGATTAAAGTTTTTCAGGCTGTGATAATATTCACATGTCACACACTGATTGTCATCTATTTCACTAATTGCAGTAGGCCCCACTTGAAGAAACTGAATCATTGATTTTAGAAATTGCATTAATTACCTCTTCCCTGAATTTAATCTCTTGTTAGGTTCATAATGGTCAAAGATTTACATTTATATAAAACAGTGCTAATAAAGAATGTGCACATTAAGAATTTTTCTGCACCTATATGGATAGGCTAATAGATAGGCCCTAATACTATATTGCCACACACATCAAGACTCGAGCTGTAGTAAAATATATACCCCTCTTTTCACAGACAATGCTTAAGCCTATAGTCCAGACTAAAATGTAAGTCTGAGCTTTTTCAACTGAAGGACACTTGCACTGACTGATCCTAAAATATATCAGTCCCTTTGTTTTGTCTCAAGATGGACACCAGTAATTTTTTTTCTAAGGCGCAATTATAAAAAAAAAATACTTAAATCTAATTGAACTATGGCCTAATCCTGGCCCTGTCTGTGAAACTAGCCCATAGGACTTGCATGCTTATTACTTTTTTAAAGAGACTACAAGTAGCTATTTAAATTTGAAACACTTATGATATGATAATATAATAAGAATTCTTCTGCTTTATAGTATTTCATTGAGCCTTAGACTTTGAGTGGATTAACAAACATCAAAACATTGCATTTAAACAATTTTTATTGATTCAAGTTTGTAGTTTGTTCCCCAGGATCTGCAAAAGACATGGCAAAATGTGATGAGTGTACATATGGAAAAGAATATTTCATGTTGCACAACATATTTTATTAAAACATATAATTATTCATGATTAAACAACATTGAACAATCTTACCTGACTCATCTGGCAAGATAATTGGCACTGAAATGGAGGGCCTTGCAAAACTCATCTCCTCCAGTGAAAGTCTCCTCTCTTCCAAAGCCATCTTGGCCTTCTTAAGTTCAATGATTTCCCTCTGAAAGTTGTAATTCATCTCATTGGCCTCTTTAAGAGATTGTCTGATATCTTTTAGAACATCTAATTTCTCTCGCTCCAGCTGTACCAAGTCCTGACTACAACCACAGATATTCTCAAATCGCGGTGTTGTGGCTGTAGCCTGAACAATTGAAGATGGAGGCTGGTCTGTTGGACTGTTGGGAGGACTGGGAGATGGTAGCTGTCTGTCAATAGGAGGTGAACCTGATTGCTCTTGTGAACATGATGGACCTGACTCAGGTTCAGGTTGACGCAACCCTTCTCCTCCATGGAGGTCAATCCCACCACAAATCCCATCTGAGGCAGTTGTTCCAAGAATTGACAGTGCCTTTTCTTCTTCTGCTGTAAGAATGGGGGCGTCATTAGGCCCACCACCTGTTTTATTAATTGTTGTCCTCTGCAGTGCCCTTTTTCTTTTAGCTAGGCTTGAAAAGTCCTGCCACTTCTTCCTGACCTCATTCCCTGATCTTTTAATCCCCCTTGTTGCAGTAAGTTTTGTAGCAATATCGTCCCACATTTTTTGTTTTTCTTTATTTGTGTGACTTCCCTTAAACCTGCTGAAAATTATATGTTTTTGTAGCTCCACCTCCTCTAAAATAATATTAATTTCCTCTTTTTGAAAAATGACTTTTCTTTGTTTTTTGGTTTCAGCCATTTTGCTAGTGTCTCCACCCCTAGGTATGTGCTTATTTATATTTTTGTCCTATTAGCAAATGCACATCAGGTGGGGATAATTAGGCTAAACTTTTCAAAAATAAATGTAAGAGCTTATTTATTTATTTATTTATTTACTTATTTATTTATTTTGATGTGAGATAAGCAATTTTTGATAAAGAAATTGATAAATAATTCTACTTAATTAAGGTTTCATATAAATATCAAAAATGATGCTGATGTCATTTCCGGCAAGGACTGTTAAAATTAGTTTTATGCGAGATTGGAGCAAGACAGTGTTTTTACAGTACGACATTTCCAGTTAATTTATGTTTTTAAACTGGCTCAAAAATATTTTTTTTTATGTTATTCGAGTTGAATATACATTCACACAAGTAGAAGAAGAATTATATGGATTGCTATAACATGTGCAACAATAACGAGCCATTCTATAGCGTGACATTTCAGCACTTAACAAACGGATAGCGACTCCTAAGTTGCACTTAAAGCTGGGCTACGTGCAATTGTGTTAAGTGCATTTTTGGGAAACGCACGTGAAACAATAACGAACGTTCGCAAAATGACTCGTAGAAAACGCTCTTAAGTGCTAAGATCAATCGTTATCGGGAAACGCAGCCCTGGTCAGAATCCTGGCAGCAGCGTTTTGGATGAGCTGCAACTGTCTGGCTTTCTTTTTGGGAAGGCCAGAGAGGAGGCTGTTACAGTAATCCACCCTGGTGCTG